TGCATGTTGTACTATAATCGGATTCCCCTCCTATATACGGGGAACCCAAAGGGCTAATGTTGCTCCAACTATTCCTCCATAAGATCAATAATATCTCTCTCTCTCTCTCTCTCTCTTTCTTCTCTCTAACTTGCTCGTCCTTACTAGCTCGAGGCTACTCTTAGCGTTATTAGTTTCATACTTGTTCTTCATTTATTGCTTGGTATTGGCCATAAAGAACCTTGTTTAATCATATCTTAACTGTTATCCCATTCCCGACTGACCCCGATAGCTCGAGATCGAGCTGGATATCGGCCTCGAGGCTTCTTCATTGACCAACCCGAGGCTCGGGCGGCAAGCCCCTGGGTTTGATTACTGCCCCGTTTTAGCTTGTATCTCTTCATTAAACTTCATACTCTTAGCATCAACTACTCTAACAACTAGCATAAAGTTAGATCACATATTTTTAGAATCCCATTTACAAATTTAATTGTTGTTACTATTTTTACGGTAAACACATTTAACTGAAGCTAGAGCTCACAGACTTCTTCCTGAAGCGTGTCTCTTTCAATTTCACAAACCTCCAGTTTTAGTTTCCAGTCCTTTTTTCTTTTTGAATTTTGCGAAGTTCATGAAGGACCTTTTAAAGATCAATCATAGCTAAATCAATAAATTCTTGAAGTTCAATGCATTTAGGACAGAGACGTACCTCGCTGGTTTCTACGATAGCCATAAGCCTTAACTTTTCATCTAGTTCATTCTCTGATTCTTCATCATCACTTTCTCCCATTTCCATGAACCATACGTTGGCTTTCTTCTTTTGAAATCTTTGTTGATTTTCATTTTTATCTCTGGACACTCAGCTTGTATATGGCCAAATTTTTCACATTCATAGCACCTTCCATCTTTTTCATTTTGTGACCTTCCTTTTCTGGAAAATTATTTACCTTTTCTTCCTCCTCTGGTTCTTCTCATCATATTTGATACTACCCTAGATAATATTGCTATATTTTCATCCTGTTCTCTTTCTCCTCTTCCTCCTCCTCATCCTTTTTCTTCATTTTCAGACTCTGCTACTGCTACCTTGAAAGCAACATTTTTCTTTTTCTTTTGGTGCACATCTTTTTAGATGAGTCTTTTCTAAAGCTATGAGGTCTTATCGTAATTTATCATGTGATATTTTATCAGGATCTTGACATTCTAAGGCAATGACTTTAGGCTGCCATGCTGTAGGTAAACTTCTGAGGATTTTTCCGACTTGTTCTCCAGTTTTTAAGGGTCTTCCGAATGATTTCAGATCACCAATGATCTTGTTGAATCTTGAGAACATTTTTTCAACATATTCACCCTCCTTCATTTGAAATAGCTCATATTCATGAACTAGAAGATTTATCCTTGTCTCCTTGACTTTGTTTGCACCTTCATAAGTGACTTCTAGTTTGTCCCACATTTCTTTTACAATTTCACAGCATGATATCTTCTCATATTCTTCTCCACTTATGGCATTGTACATGAGGTTTATTGCCTTGGCATTCACTCGAACAACGGTTGCTTGTTCATCAGTGTAATCATCTAAATCGAGAGGGTCGGATGATACCATAACCTTACCGTCTTTATCATTCCTTGGTGGAATTGAGAGATATCCCTTTTTGATCATAGGCCATACCTTAATGTCATATGATTTTGTGTAGGTTTCCATGCGCACTTTCCAGTGTGAAAATGCTGACCATTAAAGTAGTGTGGTCATACTTGAGAAATTCCTTCTTAAAATAGTGCTCCAATAACTGTGTTTGATCCCATGATCATTTCTTCACTTACGGTTAAACAGTACTTGTGAGACTTTACTCTGATCCCAATTGAAACACAAGAGAGGAGGGGTGAATTGTGACTAATTAAAAATCGGTTGACTAAAGAGAGCAATAGTCAACTCCTTTTTTTCCCAAGGTTAGAGTTTAGCATAAGCAAAATGTGCAGGAGTAAGAAAGTGGTAAAGACACAGGATTTTTTTACTAGTTCAGTATCATTGTGGTACTTATATCCAATTCTCTTTTATCGCAAGGGTTCTCTTAGATCTTTACTATGCGAATCGTTACAGCAGTTGCGGTTTTAGTTAGTTCACCACTAACGATATTCAGTTACAACGGTTCTTGATGCTTGACACAACTTCTTGTTTGTTTTCTAACTCTTCATATCTTTTGTGACACTCGTAGCTTCAATAATACAATGTTTGTACTAACAACTAGAAAGATATAGAAACTTGCTGCATAATTTTTCCTTATGTCTTTCAGTTCTTCATATAGGTTGGTCTTGAGATCTTCTCATTGATGGAGCCGTTGCAAATAGACCATTGATTGAGGCAAAGGATATTCTAAGATATTTGACCCAAGGGTTGCCTTTGAATCCAGCTCGTAGGGAAGACTTGATTCAATGAACTTCTTCCCCTTTTGTGTTCATGATTTCCAGGAGCAATTATCGTCGCAACTAAGGGTGTCTAACGGCTGGGCCGGGCCGGGCCGGACTGGGTAGGGAAAAGTTGAAACCGTCCGGGTTTCGAACCGGGCTAGTTACGAGTTAGGGGTTACCGGGCTTAACGGGCTCGGGTTCATTCGGGTAAAAAAATAAACCGTAAGGGTTACGGGTCCAAGGGGTCAGACCGGGCCGAGTTAGTATTTTTTTGTATTTTGTATAACTATTATAATTTATATTAATATAAAGTAAAAATATAAAGAATACAATGAAGATGGAAAAACAATTGCACTTAAAAATTACAAGTGCTACATTAATTTCAAAATTCAAACTTACAAATTGAAATGTTTACATTTAACAACAAGTAAATTAATAAAAAAAAGAGTAAATTCAAAGGTTCTGCATTTCCTTAGACTCTAAAACCTTTAAAAAATGAAATCTGGCCTTTAAACCAGTCCGGGCGGGAAGGCCGATTAACCGGTTCTACTGGTATTTTGGTTGATCGGGTTTGACCGGTCCGCTTTAGGGGTGGGCGTTCGGTACTTCTGTACGGTATTTATGAATTACGGTTCAATACTTCGGTATTTGGTATATCAATTGTGTATACCAAATACCGTACCAAAGTAGTTCGGTACGGTTCGATATTTTCTTGTTTGGTTCGGTACGGTTTTGGTATCGCAACTGTTGTATGAGAACTTGTCGGGTTTTGTCATTACACTACTAAGAATCTAAGATAAGTAACCTGCAACACACAAACTGTGAATATTCACTTCCCTGCACATTGAGGAGTTTGCGCGTTAGTTCAAAAGGCATATAAACAGTTTCATGTTGGTTGGTCATCTCAACAGATCATTACATATAAATGTGAAGACTACAAACTTATTCCAAAACAGATCATTACATATAAATGTCAAGACTACAAACTTATTCCAAAACAGATCATTACATATAAATGTCAAGACTACAAACTTATTCCAAAAAGTTGATCAATAATTATTTCCAGTAACATCACTGACTGCATTTTACGAGCCTAAACAATTTACCAAAATCTTCCCTGCTACTTCTTTTTTGTACAGTTCAATCACACAACACCAATATATACCATATGCCTTTTCTTGTCTGCCTTTAAGCTTAAGGGATTAGGGAATTAGGGGTTTAGGACTTTTGGGGTGTGAGCTAAAAAATAAAAATAAAGTTAGGTTTGGACTAAAATATTTTGGTATACCGAAATACCGAAATATCAAAAACCCAATACCGTATACCATACCGAACTACCGAAATACCATAATTTCTGTACCGAAATACCGAAAAAACCGAAATCGAAACACCAAATTAATTCAGTTCGATTCAGAATTCGATTTTTCGGATTTTATGCCCACCCCTTGTCCGGTTAATCGGATGAATTTGTAGCCCAGCCCACCCGCCCCCTAAGTACCGGGTCGGGCCGATCCGGGTTTCAACTGGTCTGGGCCGGGCCGATCCCGGGTCAACCCGGCCCATTTGACACCTCTAGTCGCAACTTGATTGATCTTTGATCACTCTAACTTTCATCAAGATATTCAGATTTCTTTCTCTAGAGATTCTCCTTTATTCACGAACTGATTGCTCATCCTTATATGCTTTAGACATCGCTTAAAACAGCTTCAACTTGAACTCTTTTCCTTTTGACGTCTTCAGCAGTTGCATAGCTTTCCTTTCAAGTTCCTGAATTCCCGCAATCAATTAGAATTGTTTAGATTTGTGCTATTGTCATCATTAAACATAGGTGTAATAATTTTTGGATAACAACAAGGATTCTTTTAAACTATTTGATAACAACAAGAATATTTTTGTGCAAAAAATAAAATGGAGGGCAAGATTGTCCCATCTCGAATAAGTTCAGAGGCTAAATTGGCCCTTTTCCTTTTTTAAATAGAATAAATCGTACCGTTAGGAAATAATATGACTGTTGTATTAGATTAGATTTTCTAGTAGCTACCGTGTAAAAACCCAAAATAAAAGTTGTCATTTGCTTTAGTTAACCCCAAACAAATACTTCAATATGTATTAATGTGTTCGAATCTTTTCAGGTAGATGGTTAAATTAATTAATTTTTAGTGTGAATTAACATATAAAATTTATATATTTTTTGAAACAAAATTTATTATTTAGAAACTACGCAAAGAAGTAGTATAAGTTATAATATTTAAAAACTATTTATAGAAGATATGATTAAAGAAAATTTTGTTTGACTTCTTTAAATAGTACACTTTAGTTTTTTTGAAAGGGAGGCATTAGAAAAAAGAAAAAAAAGGAAAAAAGGAAAAGAAAAATTAAGAGCGCGGTTGGATTGACTTAAAAAAAGTAGCTTTTCAGCAGAAATAACTTTTAAGCCAAAAAATAAACTTATTGCTTTTGGCTTATTTTAAACAGTTTTAAACTTATTTTAAGTAATTTTTGACTTTGCCAAACACTAAAAAAAAAGCTAAAAAGAGCTTAAAAGCTGATTTGATCCGCTTAAAAACCAATCCAAACAGCTCACGCGAACCAGGCATTATGCTTTGTTTGTACAGTTTTTTTTTTCTTTCCCTTTTTTCCATGTGATAAACAGTTCGTTTCTTCAATTCAATTTGCAAAAGAGATCATCATCGACACTGTTATTTCTCCTTTTTACACACACTCTCTCCTTCTTCATTTCCAGATCCAAACGGACGAATCAGCAACTGATCCATTCCCAGATCGTTCAATTGCATCTTCCCCAGATCTCCAAACTCTCAGCTTCAGCTCTCATTTGTGGGGCTGACCACTAATCAAACTTGTAAACAGTTAAAAGAAGTCAGCACTCCTGGATCTGATCGAGCTTTCCCATAGTTTCAAAACGGACCCAATCATGAATCCCTTCTCCTCCGGCACGCGTCTCAGGTTAGTACAATCCAAGTTCGTCAATTTTCTGCTATGTTTTTGTCATTGTGCTTTAATTGCATAACTTTGTCGAAATCACTAACGGCATTTCTGTCGTATTGTCGGTAATGGTTTGGTCCGCATCCTTGGGCTATTGTGATTAATGCCTCATTTATTTAAGGGCTATATTCAAGTAATGTGTTTACTTGGTTGCAAGAGATTTAAGCTTAATTCCTAGTTATTTTATCACTTTTGGAAGTGAATGTAAACCTTTGTTTATTTGTTGAATTTCTTCTCTAATAAATTGTCCATGGGGTTTCTTGGTTTAGTGCTGCGCCGAAACGCAGAATCATTTCAAAAATGGTCGGAGTTGCATAGTTTAAGCTATGGAACTGTGTTGGTTCTTGAACTCAGTTAAGTGGAAGAGGGGTCGGTTGGAACTATGATCGAGCAGAATGAAAATACTCGTGGTTATTACCATAGTATTGTGCAAGTGTTATGTGATAGGATCCCTTGAATGCAGTATTTTAGTGATTAGTACCATTAGTGGCCCTTAATTCTTCTGATTGGATAGTTAGAATCTTAATTTTATGTCTTTTACCACCACAAAGACTAACCCTTAAGCTAAAGTTAATTGCTTGTTTTTCTCGACCTTTCTTTAATTCTGTTCATTCGATAGTTATAGTCTTAACTGTTTGCAGTTTGGACTAATACACAAGAAATGAAGATCAGCAACCTGTTTCTATTTTTGTATTTATATCAAGATATATATCAAAATTCCCTTTGTTATTTTGTTAGCACAGGAAGCTTCTTAGTAATCCTAGATTGCCGAAAAATAAAGGCAGCGTGTAAAAAGCAGCCCGTGTTCATGCTAGATCCGGGGAAGGGCCTCAGCCAAAGGGGCGGTGACGTAACCTTGCAAGCATCAGTGGCTATTTCCACAATTCGAACAGAGACAACTTTACTGTTGCTCCAAGGCTTCTCTTCACATTGCTTAAAAATGAGACTTATAAATGGATCCCCTGATTTCCAGATTGTCCTGTAATGCCAGTCAGAGGGGAAAGACCAAATTGAAGGATATTCCCAATGTGCTATGTTGTCTGTTCTTTTGAGCCTGTTGCTCCATATCATGTTTATATAGTAATCAGACCCTTTTGTGGTGGCTTCTGTAAGAGCTGGTTTCTCCTTTTCCTCGATGACAAGGCTTTAGCAGTGAGAATGTGGACATGGAGAAATATGAAAATAAGGTTCTCTATAAATGATATTTGAATCTAAGGTTATCCATCTATGATATTTGAAAATTAAGGTTATCTGTTTATGCTATCTGTATATGATATTTGACTAGCTAGTATTTTTTTAATGTAATGGCCGAATGATCTTTCAGATGTAAGGATTTGCTTAATGTGATCTAGAGTTTCGACATTATGAAAAAATGTGTTATTTCATGGGTCTATGATTGGTCCAAAATATTCTTCTTCTACACCAAAGCATGCTACTAGTTTTTGGCTTCACGAGCTTGGCAGTGGTTGGAGTATCCAAACTAGTTTGAATGAGTTGAGCAGCTGGGCATAAGTGCTTAATTCTTCTTTCAACTTCATTTTTATGCTTTTATATGCTCAATTTGGAATTTATTTTTTCGTTAAGAACAGTAAAAATTTCAGCGAAATTACATTTTCACACTCCATCTGAGATCTGATGCATTGTTGATTGAATGATTCATTGCATTTTCTGATTTCCCCTCCCCTTCTATATCACACTACCATAATATTTAGATGAAATCTCTGAACTATTTCTTGTGCAGTTGGAGGCTTGTACATTTTCAGAAACATCAGACCCTTTTTTTTTAAATATATTTTTGAGACCACATTGTACAGGTTGTTGGTACATTTCTATTAGATCTGCCGTTGTCAGGAGTTCTTTTAGTTGGATAGAAAATGTATAGAACCTCGGCTGTTAGAGAACCCCTAATTTGTCTTGGAAGAAAAATTATTGAGTACTGGAATAATGGAGCATAACGGATATTGATGATTCATTGAGCTGACTCGAGCTAGTTTGGGATTAAGGCGTAGTTGTTGTGATCTTTTTGTTGTCTACACATGGTTTCAGTTTTGTCCAAATTGGCAGTTTGATAGCTTCTTTTTTGGACTCCCACTAGTTTACACAAGGGGTCAGCAATTAGCAGGTTACTTGTTTTAAATTAAACCAAACTAAACCAAACTAAACCAAAAGTGTTATGTTTTTACATATTCCAGATCACATGTAACACTTATACATATGGTTTCAGTTTTGTCTGAGTTGATGGTTTTACAGCTTTTTGACACCAATGTTATATAGTGCTGAGGATGAAGAAGATTATAAAATATTTATGAAGAACTCTTAAAATAAAACCTAATTAGAGAAAGCAAAAGCCCTTATAATTGTGCGAGTTTTTGTAAGAAATTGGAGTGAAGACAAAAGAGGAGAAACAAGAATAGTCATAAATTATAAACCTCTTAATAAAAAGGTTATAGAGCATTATGGATAGACCCTAAGGAGCTGTAACTCATTAAAGATTATTTTATTTCTCACAGAAAGCATTCAGGAAACAGAAATTACCTGCACTACAATTTTTATTCCTTAAAAAAGTTTTATCTTCAGCTGCTGATTGACTACCTCATTCTATTTGCCCCATCCTTGCATAACACATTCCCACAGGAAAAAAGAAAATTTGTGTGTGGATGCTGATGCAAAGTTTCTCTTTCAGATTATGTTTAGTTAACCGAAGATGCTTAGTGCATGATATAGCATAGGTGTGATAAAGACCATGATGTACCCTTATTGTTGCAATGCAGGGACATGATTAGGGCTATCCGTGCTTCCAAAACTGCAGCAGAAGAGCGTGCCGTAGTAAGAAAAGAGTGTGCTGCTATTAGAGCTTCAATCAGTGAAAATGATCCAGACTATAGACATCGTAATCTTGCAAAACTCATGTTCATTCACATGCTTGGTTATCCAACACATTTTGGTCAAATGGAATGCTTGAAGTTAATCGCATCTCCAGGATTTCCAGAGAAACGAATAGGATATCTTGGTCTAATGTTGCTGCTTGATGAAAGACAAGAAGTTCTCATGTTGGTTACAAATTCTATAAAACAGTATCCATTTCTAACTTTCTGCTTTTATAGTGGTATCTCTTTAATTTATTATTCTACATTATTAGAAGGCACTTGAATAATTGGACCAAATTAAAATGTTTAAAGAAAGAATTTCTGGATAAGAGGTTTTCAAATCTTTATCTTTTGTTTCTTTTTCAAAAAACACCCAAAATTCATAAGATGATGCCAGTTGATTTATCCCCCAATAAAGAGAAAAAAAATTAAAAAGGAGAAAAATTTGATGCTGCTCAGTTCGTTTGGAAGATGAAATTATGATTTTCTTTGATATCTTAACTTTTAATAGAGATCTTAATCACACCAACCAATATATTGTTGGACTTGCACTTTGTGCCTTGGGGAACATTTGTTCAGCAGAAATGGCTCGTGATTTAGCACCTGAAGTTGAAAGGTTACTGCAGTTTAGAGATCCTAATATTCGAAAGAAGGTACATCTTATATCCCTTGCTAAAAGATAAGAGTTTTTCATTTGAATTGTAATTAAGTTCCATTTTAAGATGTGAAATTCTGTTGGATTAATAGCCTGTTTGGCCAAACTTCTAAAATCAACTTATTTTGAGAAGTGCTTTTCTCAAAAGTACTTTTTTAAAAAATTGCTTTTGATGAGAAGCAGTTTGTGTTTGGCTAATTAATTTGAAAAACACTTTTGAGCAGTAATTAGTGTTTGGCCAAGCTTTTGAAAACTGCTTCTAAGTGTATTTTTCTCAAAAGTGCTTTTGGGGAGAAGCTACTTTTTTTTGCTTCTCAAAAACTGCTTCAGCTTCTCCTCAAAAGCACTTTTTTTTCCTTCCAAAAGCTTGGCCAAACACCTCAATTTTTGGCCAAAAGTGCTTTTGGCCCAAAAAAGCACTTTTGGCCCCCAAAAAAAGCTTGGCCAACGGGCTAAGTTTGCCTACACAAACTCGTTAAGTATTAATTTCCTAAGAAATTCATGGATGAATCAATTAAAGTTGAGGTTCATCAGTACAAAAGAGAGGGATGTGAAGGAAAAGATAAAATGTTTAGCGTGTGTGTGAGAAACATTGATAGCTTAATAGGAATTTCGGTACTTTGTGTTAGAGAAAGTGAATTTGCTCAAATTTATTATGATGTCTGTGGGATGTGTGAGCCAATTCTGTGTGTGAAAAACAAGAAAAATTCTCAGGAATTTCAGGATTTGTTATTAGAAGTGGTATTTCCTTGACCAGCAGTAATATGGAGACTATCCTTCAGATGAGAGATTGCTGGTTTAGTAATATGTTGAGATGGGGGCTTCCTAATGAAACCATTACACGTTGCAATCCCAGATGGTAAAATTTGTATTACTCCCTCTGTCCCAATTTATGTAAAACTCTTTCCTTTTTAGTCGGTCCTAAAAAGAATGACACCTTTCTTTATTTAGTAACAATTCAACTTTAAATTTCCCGTTTTACCCTTAATGAAATGATTTTTAGTAACACAAATTTCTATAGTTTTTGAGACCACAAGTTTCAAAAGTCTTCAGTTATTTCTTAAACTCCGTGCCCAATTAAATACTTTCACATAAATTGGGATGGAGGGTGTATCATTTTTGCAGAGCTGTCATCAATGTCCATTTAGGAATTGGGAATTAAATATGGATGGGAACTGATTATCCTTGGCGATTAAATGCTCTTGCTGGACATTGATCACTGCATCACTGAACAGAAAACTGACTCCACAATCAAGTTAAATATGGGGAGAAAGCAGATACAGTTACTTTTGCTTAGAGTCACCAATGTAGACCATACATTGGTTTAGTAGTAGCTGTTACCATTAGGTCAGTAGGCATGTCTCATTAGATACTTTTGGAATCACGTGCATTTATATGGTTACTTTCCACAATCAACCAGCAAAGTTTCCTTTTTGATCCATCATCTTGGGCTCTGCTAAGGGAGGAATAGGCTAGCGGATAGGACGGTTGGAGGTATGAGTCACCTAGGAAGCATAGTGGGAAAGGGCCACTATTAACTCCTGGATGGGAGAGCAGGGAGGGGGGTAGTTGGTTTTTGGTGGGCTTTTCCATATAAGAACGATCAATCATCTTGCGCTCCCATTCTAGTTGATCACTCTTCCTTTTTCTCTGTGACCTCCTTTCAACAAAATTGAATTATGCATATCATTCAAGGTAATCCATTATCCTTTAAGTATTCTCATCTGTGTATTTGAGTACCAGTAATTTGATGTGTCTTTGTTAAGCTTACATATGGTTATTGCCAACATCTACTCACTTTACTTCGGTCTATCTTAGGCAGCACTTTGCTCTATAAGAATTATAAAGAAGGTCCCAGATCTTGCGGAAAATTTTGTAAACCCTGTAGCTGCCTTGCTTAAAGAGAAGCACCATGGAGTTCTCATCACTGGTGTCCAGCTTTGTTCAGATCTATGTAAAGTTAGTACAGAGGCCCTTGAATATTTTAGAAAGGTAAGTNCTATCCTTCTTTACGTAAAAAGTGGATAGGAAACAAGAAGAACACTTAAATCTCTTAAGCTCTTCCTCATCGCTTTGATACATCCTCCCCGTCTTTCCATTCTAAATACATCAAAACGGCATAATGGACTAGATTTCCATGCTGCTTTCATTCCATGTACATGTTTTGGAGCAGAAATGCTTGGTCAGCATATTATCTTTTAGTTCTTGCTTGTTATACCTTTGAGTTTTGTGTGACCTGTTAAGTTAGATTTGATGATATGCCTCTATTTTTACTGATTGAAGCACGTTATTAGGATCTCTACCGCACTTTCAATTTTGGTTCTTCCTTTATTCACCTCAGACTTTCTTTTTTTGAAGTTCCAACTGAAAAGAATGACTAAACTTGCACAGGTAATATCTTAATTTCAATTATGCCATAATTGGCTGGGGTGAGAAGACAAGAGTTGGTGGGATATGAAGTAAAAGAGGAGGCATAGTGTTTAGTTTCTTTCGCTAATAATGAGGTATAAGGGGAAATGAGCTGTTCTTTCTGTGTCATCTCTGAAATTGGATGGAAAGGACGACGTAAATTAAATTGCTTACTTGACTCCCTTAGACCAAAAAATTGGAGTTAAACGATGAATGCTGTACCTATAAGTAATCAATGAGGCCTGCTCTATTTTTTTATGCTTCACCTCGCCCTCCACTGTACTAAATCTCCGTGTTAAAATATATTAACAGCATAAACATGTTGGATGTTAATGCATAACCATTGTGTTAAATGTTCTGCGTATAAGCTTTGAATTTAAATGCATATTGAATTATGAGATAGATAAGAATTAAAAGGTTTATTTTCAGTTCTACAAGGCATTTACATTTTTCTTTTTCTTTTGTTTCTGTTCATCTGTGGTTATAGAAATGCACAGATGGTTTAGTGAAAGTTCTAAAGGATGTTGCCAACAGCCCGTATGCACCTGAATATGACATTTCTGGCATTACAGACCCTTTTCTTCATATAAGATTGCTCAAGGTCTTGCGTGTTTTGGGCCAAGGCGATGCCGACGCTAGTGACTCCATGAATGACATTCTTGCTCAGGTCAGTTATAGCTCAATGGTCTGTTGAAGCATATGTGAATGTACTGGAGTTGTACAATTTTGAATTTTTTCGAATGCTTTCCTCATAGGCATGTTTTGTCATCTTTTTGGCAGTTCCACTTGCGGTATCTTGCACTAGAATAGCATATTTCCTCGGTTAGACTGTACAAGAGTTTTCTGTATGTCTATACAAGATAGGACTGTAGTTGATAAATCATTGCTTATAGTCAAGGATAAAGATAGCAAGCGCATAAACTGTAGTTGATAAATGTGTGCTCATAGTCAAGGATAAAGAGCAGTGTGTGTAGTTGCTTTAAGTACATTGGGATGTTAGATCATGACTCTTTTGATTTTATTTTGTTCCTTTTGTTCTCATCAAATTCTTTATTGATATTCACAATCACCCTGCTGGGCTAGCTCTCCTTATGTGGCAATTTTACTATGCGAACCCTTAATGAGGAGACTGGATGAAGCTCTACTAGTGAACGCTTGTGTTAAGCATATGCATCGCGATAAGTTCATTCACAGCTCAGAGACTCTGATTAACAAGAACATCTAAGCAAATGCAACAATCTGAGCAACTGTCTTTTATTTTTTCTCCTGGCACTTTTGACAACTAATTCTTGGCACGTTGGACTATTTACTATCATTGAAGCTACTACTAACGGTATGAGTAAGATGCAACAGAAATTGCTGAATATCAAGGAAGTTATTCTGTTTAGTGAAATAACATATTCTTATTCATTCTCTAACAATTTTGAATTACTTTTTAGGTGACAACGAAAACGGAGTCGAACAAAAATGCAGGCAACGCTATTCTCTATGAATGTGTTGAAACTATCATGAGCATTGAAGATAATGGTGGTTTACGTGTGCTTGCTATTAATATTTTGGGAAGATTTTTGTCCAACCGTGACAATAATATCAGGTCATCTTCATCCTCTAGTTTTATTTTCTTCCTAAAATTTGTTGGGGTATCTTCCAATGTGTTGTGACTCTCTTTTGTGTCCAAAGATTGCACCTTAAAATATTCGTGGGTTGAAACTGAATTAATTGTTCTCAAAGTTTGTGCACATTCAATATGTGACTTCTTTCTGAACACCCTCCAATTGGTTTTCCAGATATATTGGCAAATGAGTGGTATATTATATGTTTCTTGTCACACACCTTGAATGTGCAAGGTCTTCTTGTCTTATGGTGCTATTGGTGTTTCATCAGGAGCAGAACTAGAAAACTAATTTGCACCAAACCTATAATTAGAAAAATAAGAGAATTTAATCTACTTTTTAATGATTGTGATATTTGATATGCACAAACAATTGCAGGCACTTGTAGTTTTCTTTTTTTTAGATGGTAAAAAAATAAAAAGTCTTGTTTCTTTGAGTTTATAAAATGGTAAGTAACACAGGGCCTAGCTCAAGTGGCAAAGGTTGGTGGATTTGTGTCTTAGGTCACAGGTTCAAGCCCCCACACCATGCAAAGCAAAGCCTGTTATTTAAGTGGAGAAGGGTAGAGGGGCGGGCCCATTATCCACCGAGTTTCGAAGGCTGCGGTTGGTCCAAAGCCCCAGACGGATTTCTCGGTCATAAAAAAAAATGGTAAGAAACACAAAATAATAAAGGCATAAAAAGTGAAACATGTAAAAACAAAATTAGAAAATTTGAAAAATTGTAACCAGATATCAACTACTCAATCTCAAAATTCACAAACATGATTAAAAAGTGCTTGTTAGCAGCGGTGGACAAGAGCAATGATGGATTATCACCCAAGTATAGTGACAAGGGAAGTTTATCTTTAGTTAGTGGAAGAATTTGAGGAATAGTGAATAAAAAAGTCATGCTGTAGATTTTGAGAAGAAGAAAAGGCTTCTTGTATTTATATGTATGTTTACATCCCATGAGCAGAGAAATTTATACAAAGCTCCTAATGCTAATTAAGGAAATAAAATAAATCTATACAATCAATCCAGCTATCAAATCAAATAAAATTAGATCTCTTAAATATAATCAAATCTCCTGAAATCATGCTAATCAACACTCCTAAATCAAGTCTCCTTGAATCATGCTAATCAACACTCCCCCTCAAGTTGGTGCAAAGATGTCGCACATGCCCAATGTGCAGCTCAAAGTATGGAAGGTTCGCTTGTTGAGACCTTTGGTAAACACATCAGCTAGCTGTTTTTCCGATGACACATGAAACAAACTCAAGACACCAGTTGTAACTTTTTCTTTGATGAAGTGTCGGTCAATTTCCACATGCTTTGTTCGGTCATGCTGGACTGGATTATAAGCTATACTGAAGGCAACTTTATTGTCACAGTACAAGGAAAGTTTTCCTTTTTCATACAGTCTCAATTCCTGTTGTAGCTTTTGTAGGCAAAGCAGTTTGCAAACACCCTGGACCATAGCTTTATGTTCTGCCTCCGCACTTGATCTAGCAACTACACTTTGCTTCTTGCTTCTCCAGTAACCAAGTTTCCTCCTACGAGCGTACAGTATCCGAATGTTGATCTTCTGTCATCTAGAGATCCAGCCCGATCCGCGTCTGTAAAGGCTTCTATTTGGAGGTGATCATGTTTGGAGAAAAGTAGACCTTTCCCTGGAGCAGACTTCAGATACCGCAAAATGTGAACGACAACTTGCATATGAGGATCTCGGGGATCACGCATGAACTGACTCACCAGGCTAACTGAATAGGCTATGTCTGGTCTAGTGTGAGAGAGATAAATGAGTCTTCCAACCAACCTCTGATATCTCTCCTTATCAACTGATTCTCCAACTCCGCTTTGTAACTTGTGATTGCTTTCAATGGGCGATTCTGCGGGCTTGCAACCTGTCATACTAGTTTCTTTCAAAATATCCAGAATATACTTCCTTTGAGAAATAATGATTCCTCTTTTAGATCTAGCAACCTCAATTCCCAAGAAGTACCGCAATTTTCCTAGATCTTTGATCTCAAATTCATGTGCCAACAACTTTTTCAATCGAGACATATCCTCTTTGTCATCTCCTGTCATTACTATGTCATCAACATAAACTATGAGAAGAGTGAGTTTACCCGTTTGATGTCTTATGAAGAGGGTGTGATCAACATTGCTTTGTTGGTAACTGAAGGAGATCATTGCTTTGCTGAATCTGTCAAACCAAGCTCTGGGGGATCTTCAATCTGCATACCTTTCCTTGATTTTGTGCAATATCAAATCCAGGAGGAATCTCCGTATGCACCTCTTCTTTTAAGTCTCCATGAAGAAATGCATTCTTCACATCAAACTGTTACAAGTCCCAATCAAGATTAGTTACACAAGATAAAAGAATTCTAATAGTGTTCATCTTAGCAACGGGGGCAAATTCTGGGAAATAGACACAGAAGAAATAGACAAGGCAAAGGTTCTATAGGAGGGAGACAAAGAATTATAGGAGACAAAATTAGATGTGTTTGGTGGTGCAAGATCTGACTCATTTTCTGAGAGCAATAAGTTCATCTAACTCATTAGGAAATGTAGATAACTCACCAGTAGAAGAAGGTTCAGCTACGGTAGATTGCATGATGGCTTCTTCTGCTCTATTTTTCCTTGATTAAGTTTCAAATCAAGCCTATCCAAACGCCCAATAGTCTCCCCCTAAATTCTTTCTCCAATTTCACTTTCCCCTGTGACTATGTTATCAAGAGGTCCAGTAATGGAACTAGGTAGAATCACTTCTTCCTCCTTACTGCTCTCCCCCCGAAGAGGTGATGAGGTAATACTATAATAGGGCTCGAATTCTTGAAAGGTAACATCCATGCTAACAAAAGATCTCTTAGAGGGAGGATGATAACATTTGTAACCTTTCTCTGTCGGAGAATACCCAATGAAAATACACTTTATAGCTCTAGAATCTAGTTTCCCAGAATTTCTAGTGTGGACAAAGCAAACACACCCAAACACCTTTGGAGGAACAATATATTCATTCTTACCCTTGAGGACTTTAAAAATTGAGGGGTTTAAGTGGTATTCTGTTGATAAGATAGGCAGCCGCTAGAATAGCATCCCCAGTAAGGTTTTGGTAGATGCATGGTGAATATAAGAGATCTTGCTACTTCTAGCAGATGCCTATTTTTTCTTTCAGCGACCCCATTTTGTGCACTAGTGCAAGGACAACTAGTATGATGGACTATCCCATTGGACTCCAAACAAGCACCAAATCTTTTATCCATGTATTCGCATTGTCAGTTCTCAAGATTTTTATTTTGGCATCAAACTGAGTACAAATCATCTTATGAAATGACTAAAAACAAGAGAAAACTTCACTTTTTGGCTTTTAACAAATATACCCAAGTCATCCTAGTGCAGCAATCGATGAAAGTAACAAACCATCGACTACCAGACCAAGAAACAGTTTGGGTAGAACCCCATACATTAAAATGAATAGTCATAAACGGAGTTGTGCTTCTATTATCACTCACAGGATAAGAATTTCTAGTATGTTTGGCATATTCACACGCATCACAAAACAAAGATTCAAATCGAGTCCTTGAAAACAAATCGGAATATAACTTCTTCAACACAAAGAATGATGGGTGTCCTAACCATTTATGCCATTGTATTATTTCTTGGTTGACATCCTTACTTTCCCCAAGAAAGGCTTGACTAGAGTTTTGAATCCCATGTAATATATACAAGTCATCACGTAATGTACCACTGCCAATTCTTTTTCCTGTTTGAAGATCCTGGAAAATACAATGATCGAGAAAGAATTCGATTTTACAGTTTAGAGCTTTGGTGATGACACTAACAGATAAAAGATTGATAGGGAACTTAGGGACATGGAGCACGGATGATAGTTTAATATTAGGAATACAAATGACAGAACATGTTCTAGAGATAGGGGTTAAAGAACTATTGGCTATTTTAACATTATCTCCTTTGGGAGACGGAGAATAGTTTTGAATGCCTTTAGAACAGCCTGTCATGTGTCTATTTGCACCAGAAACGACAACCCAAGAATTAAAGTTATCAGCAAAGGCAGTGCCTGATTGCACATGATTGGATGTGGTAACATTAGCGGAGTCAAGTTTGGCTAGGAGGCGACGGAGAAGCTAAATTTCATCCGAAGACAAGATTTCTCCAGAAACCGTCTCCTTGAATGTCTTCATATTTCAGCCCAATCAGAAGGAAATCAGAAGGAGTTTGTATTGCGGACAACCAACAATAGAGAGAAAACTCGACCTCTTTGATAAAAAAGGGACCCTAGTGCTGCGAGGGAGATAACTCAACTCAAAAAAGGGAGCAATGGCTCTGATACCATGTAGATTTTGAGAAGAAGAAAAGGCTTCTTGTATTTATATGTATGTTGACAACCCATGAGCAAGAGAATTTATACAAAGCTCCTAATGCTAATTAAGGAAATAAAATAAATCTATACAATCAATCCAGCTATCAAATCAAATCAGATCTCCTAAATATAATCAAATCTCCTGAAATCATGCTAATCAACACTCCTAAATCAAGTTTCCTTGAATCATGCTAATCAGCACATGCATTTGACACTTATCAAAAGTAGCATGATTTGGTATGTATTTTGGTGGTTTTCCCAATTAATTTGGGTTTGTGTAGAATGCTATTTAATTGTTGTTGTCCTATTCAGGTTTCTTAGTTAGTTGCATCTTTATGCATCAATTTTTTTGCTTCTGATGTTTCTCAAAAAAATTGTCACTTTTCTTTTAAAAACTAAAGAAAATCATTTCAAAGAGACAATTAACAAGAAAGAACTCGCCCAAGTGGCTCGAAGTCTAGAGAGCTGGAATGTGGAGCTTAAAGAAAATTAATGCTATACTCATTCTGTTCAAATTTATATGATACTCTTTTCCTTTTGTCATGTTCCAACATGTTTGACACGATTCCGCTTCTATAAATCTTTCACGATCCCTAAGAATACTGATTTATTGGACTACTCAAGATTTAAACTTTAATGTGCTTTCTATAAAACTAACTTTTCAACTATTACTTTAATATTTTTATCACTATCACTAATATAATATTTAAATAAATTAAAATCTTGACTTAATGAGCAGTTGATACCGTCCTATAAAATGAATGGAGTGAGTATTCTCTTTTATGTGTTCCAGACATAAATGGAGTGAAAGCTATTCAAAGGGGAAAAGAGAACCCTTTGGTGACACATCTAGGGAGGGGGACAAGGCGCCTGCCAACTCCCACTTCTTCCACCCAAGTTGTACCTTAATTATCTGCGGTCAAAGTAAGACATGCTTTTGTGTCTCAAAACATCCCTGGTTTTGGTATGATGTGCATCTGAGGGGGACAAGGCGCCTGCCAACTCCCACTTCTTCCACCCAAGTTGTACCTTAATTATCTGCGGTCAAAGTAAGACATGCTTTTGTGTCTCAAAACATCCCTGGTTTTGGTATGATGTGCATCTGAGGGGGACAAGGCGCCTGCCAACTCCCACTTCTTCCACCCAAGTTGTACCTTAATTATCTGCGGTCAAAGTAAGACATGCTTTTGTGTCTCAAAACATCCCTGGTTTTGGTATGATGTGCATCTGAGGGGGACAAGGCGCCTGCCAACTCCCACTTCTTCCACCCAAGTTGTACCTTAATTATCTGCGGTCAAAGTAAGACATGCTTTTGTGTCTCAAAACATCCCTGGTTTTGGTATGATGTGCATCTGACCGGGGCAGATCTATGTATAGAGAAGGATGGTGTGCCACCCGGTCGCTCGGGTAAAACTTCATAAATGTACTGGTATTTCACGCAGAAACAAACTTATAGTAAGGATCCCAAAGTCGCGAACTGGTCGTAGGTGCCATGGTCAAGGTGCCACCTTTCCACATTCTAACACCCAGGATCAGTACTCACTTCACTCACTAGCAAGCCATTTATACTTTTCCTCTTGGCCCTACTTGTTCCCTTTTTTCATTTTCTTTTCTTCTCTTTTTCTTAATTTGTTTTAGTTTTCTCATCTTTATATTTCCTCTCTTTGTACAACCCCATTTTATTATTTATTATTTTCTTCTGTTTTCTTCTTCTAGATCTCAAAATTTTATTTGAATATGATTTTAATCATTTCTCTTTTTTATTCAACAACAACAACAACAACATAGCCAGTGTAATCCCGCAAAGTGGGGTCTGGGGTTCTCTTTTTTATTCATTTAATGTTATTTTTTCCTTGATTTCAAATACAACAACATACCCAGTATTATCCCTTACCGTGGGATCTGGGGAGAGTAGTGAGTTAGCAGACCTTACCCCAACCTTGTGAGGATAGAGAGGCTGTTTCCAATAAATTCTCGGCTCAGGAAAGTATGAACACCACATTAATGAAAAATAAAGGATTAAATATTTTCAGTTTGGTTATCACATATTTATTTATACACCAAAAATCTTATAAAGCGAACAAGTTAATTCAAAACTGATCGACCCGAACCAAACCAAATTAGTTCAAAATAGAGTGAATCGACCAAATGCACACCCTAATTCAATCTCCTTAATTAGTGGTTATTTTGCATTAAATACAATGGCACCTATAGCCAATCAAATCTTGGATCCACCTCTCTTCATCTGACTGCAACCTGCATGGAAATCAGTACAGAAATCTTCATGCTGTCAGTTGGCTTACCATTATTGCCACCTTTAGATGCTCCTGTCTGCGTACCACAACCCTGACAATAATACCTGTTTAGTTTTCTTTGTTTCTCTTTCTTTTTCTTGTCGGGAAAGTAGAAGGAAAAAGGGGTTTCCTTCATTTTGTTGAAAGCCACGTTCTGCATACTTACTGCTATTTTTCTTGCAATCTGCTTTCCATTATATTGAGATTTAGTTATTTCAGATATGTGGCGCTGAACATGCTGATGAAAGCTATAGCTGTAGATAGTCAAGCAGTACAGAGACACAGGGCAACAATTTTGGAATGCGTGAAGGTATGTTACCTTTATATTTTATTGTTTCTTCTCATAAAAAATAATAATTTGTTGCATCTTGTCTTTCTTTTTCTTCAATCCTCAGTGTTCTTTTCCTCTCATATGTGGAGTCCCTCCTAATATTTCTACAGAACATTGTTAATGGCATCTTTACATTTTGGTACTTCTGTCATTATATGGCTTCTTGAGTTGAAATGCGAATGTTTGACATCTTTTCCCAAAGTGTTCATTTTTATAGTTTCTGTCGAAATTTGTGTGCTTATTTAATTTTCAGGACTCTGATCCATCAATTCGTAAAAGAGCCCTTGATCTAGTGTATCTGTTAATAAACGACAGCAATGTGAAGCCATTGACCAAGGAGTTAACTGAACATCTGGAAGTAAGTGATCCAGAGTTTAAGGGAGATCTGACTGCCAAAATCTGTTCCATTGTGGAAAAGTAAGTCAGCACTGAACAATTGTCAAACTTGTCTATCTCTTCTTTTTGTAATTCACAGAATACTCCTGCTTCAGAATATTCTGGGAATAGATCTTCTGATTATTGCTTTGCTATTTCCTGTTTTTGTTTCTGTTGATTTTTCTGATTGTGTCCCCTGGCCGATTTTTGTGTTGTAACATGATTACATAGCTTTGTTTCTGTTGACTTTTCTGGTTGTGTGCCCAAGGGAATTCTTGTGGTGTAATATGATTAGACAACTTTCCTGAACAAATGGGTTGTTCGTTCTCTTCAAATGCATCTTGTACTTACAACTGCTTATGGTGCAATAGGTTCTCCCCTGAAAAAATTTGGTACATTGATCAGATGCTCAAGGTCCTCTCTGAGGTATGCATAAGCTGGTAGTCTCATAAATTTAGATCTCTTCTTCTTCTTAAATTTTTTTAGATACCTTCTTTATCTTTCAAATCAATGCTCTATGGGGCTTCCGATGTTAGCATGCAGACTACAATATGATTTAGTTATGACCTGGTCTTTTTAACTTTTTGGCCCTCTTGTCTTTCCCTTAAAGACACTTTTGTGTTTTATTACCTGGATAGGTATGTGGTTAGCTATATTCTATGTGCCAAAGTTTGGTAGTGCAGAGGTCACACTCTTACTGAGTGTTTATTATGTGGTCATGCCGGCCTTTTTCTTAATTGTAGAGTAAAATCTCTCTCAAATTTCTCTTACTCATGAACTGCTTTGCTGATTCTCACAAGTGTACAGTTTTTTCACAAATATATGTTAGTAAAACGATTATGGCAGAATAACCATTATGCCACAATCCCAAACTAGTTGGAGTTTGCTATATGAATCGTCTATATCAATTTCTATGAGGATTCATCATAAATTGGCTATATGCTAACATCAACCTACAACCTACCTCCTTTATTGAACAAGGAACCAGCTATTGGAAGCTCACGTAGGTGAGCCCGCATTGGTATAAGCTGGTTCTCCAACTTTGAAATTCTGGATTGGAGTACTATTATTATCTGTGAGATGCTGTTCCAGGGCTTTGATCTAGTTGTTAGAGCTCAACACGTGATGTATGGGTTAGACGCACATCACGACTTGGAACCCTACCATTGACAAAAGATTGGTATTTAAGTGGAGAAGAGTAGAGGGTCGGACCCATTTTTGATAGTAGTTACCTACCAAATCTTTGGCATTGGTAGACTTTGTTTGAGTTAAATTAAAAGCAAAAATTAATGTTTTATAATACTCTTTACAAGGGCTCATCCACCTCCCTCAAGTTATGAATTTTTCGAGAGGGATTATAGGAAAAAAAGAACGCCATTTATCTGAAATTACTCATTGTGAAGTGATAATACGATATCCATTTTCAACGAGAAAGAATTGCAGTTACAAATTGCAAACTATTAAAGTTTACGACATATTGCCAAAGCTTTTAAAAATATAAATAAAGTAAGCAATTTTATTCATAGAAAGTTCCAGCACAAAGACAGCGCTGAATGTTAGACTGCCAAAATAGCACAATAAGGCTCAGTTCTGCAATGAATCTACAATATCTAACAATTTCCCCTCATCATATGTATCCACCAAAATACATCATGTAGCTAAATTAGATAAGCATTTAACTTTCAACATTTGGATGGGAATTTTATTGCCCTCAAAGCGCATCAAGTTTCTTTCTCTCCCAATTGTTCAGAAAACACAGCCAGTGATAGTCCTCCACATGTTCTTCAGCTACTTGTTTCCTTGGAAATACATCCAGCTTTCTCCCCAAGGTTTTTTTCTCACATAGGTTTTTGATTGAGGACATTATCTTCTTAACGCTAATTATCATACATTCCTCTGATCAAACTTATGTAGAACCAACCTCATAATCTCATACATGTAATGGCACTTAGTCGCAAATGAATGTGCTTATGCTGCTGGTTATAGATTTTTGACTCTACATGTTTGAAGCCCGTTGCTGGATACGTATGTGATCTATATCATAATTATTTCTCAATCTGTCAAAGTGCCAGACCTTAACATCTGATTCATGTCAGCCTGTTCTGGTGGATCTGCTCGTTCTTCCTTTATTTCTTTTTTTTTTGTGTGGGTAAACAGTACTAATATGTCGTCTGTGCTATAGGCTGGAAATTATGTGAAGGACGAGGTGTGGCATGCTCTGATTGTGGTGATTACAAATGCTTCCGACCTCCATGGATATGCTGTACGATCTTTATATAGAGCCGTGCAAACAGCAGGGGAACAGGTACTTCGTGCTTTGCCTGTATCTTCTATCAGAATCCAAGTTCATGTAACCCATGAGCAGTTTTCTTGTCCTGAATATGTCTGTATTTTTTACTGTAATCTGTTTGACATTTTTTTGTTAGGAAACTCTTGTTCGAGCTGCAGTTTGGTGCATTGGAGAGTATGGTGAAATGTTAGTCAGTAATGTCGGAAGGCTTGACATAGAAGAACACCTAACTGTGAGTTTATGCTTTTGGACAGTTATTAGCAAATATTGTTTATGCATATTTTTCTCCATATTAATCTTGCATCATATTCTTGACCAGCTTGTATTTCTTGTGTGACCCAGCATTCTCTGGTTGAAGTTTCTCATTCATTATTATCATCCACTGGGAAACTCTCCATGGATGTGTTGACAATAACTATAGCTGTTGCTTCCTGTTGTATTAATTGGAAATTCACTAATATGCTCTGGTTGAATGTGGTAAAGACTGTTAAGCTAGTTCCATGTGATTTCAAATACTATAGAGAATTCAGATCTCCAAGAAATGCCATATTCCTAAGAAATACTAAAAAAGTAGAAAAAGGGGAGTGAAAGAAAAGAACTATCAACAAACATATGTTTTACCCAATAAGCTGCTACTAGTTTATTTCATTTTTCAAAGCCAAATTTGGACGATATATTGTGTAACATTGTTGTTATTATGTGCATCTGCCATTTGGTAATGTACTTTAGTCACATAAAAATGTTACTTATAAAAACAAAGGATGGATAGTCCAAACGATGGTCTATAAAGAATACTTAATATTTTGTATTTTATTTCAGTTAGATAGTTAGGTAATAACCATAATCCCACCTAGAATAGGAGCAGAATATGTATTGTATATAGTTATAAATAAGTATTGTAAACATTTAATATAGAACATCAATAATATATTTTTCTCCCGTGCTTTCTCCATCGCTGTGCGTCATTCCAACGACATCCGGGAAGAAAGAACTCAGTCACCGTGCAATTTTCCGGTGACCGAAGTGACTGATTTGCATCATCTCACGTTTGGTGAGTGTTGTGCACAAACCAACACCACTATTACACTCAGAAAACTCCAGCGACCAAACCCCATTCACCATTCAGATTCTTCGGAAATTGACGGCTCATGCACCTCCACGTGCTGGTAAGATCTGTGACTACACAGGCACGTTTGTTCCATGCGCCAGCACGTGCGTGCTTCTCCGGCCATTTTTTGGTTGAGCTTCTTCAAGACAACTTGTTCATAAGGCAAATCCGACCCTACCCAGCCAGTTTACACCTAATTCCGACGACTTCTATGTTTCTGGCGATTTATTTGCAGTTTCCGGCTACTGTTCCGGCGGCTGGTTCCTTTTTTCTAGCAAGCCACGATTTTGGGAGTTACAGTGGTGCTAGACCTCTCTTCAATCCAAACCATACAACTTAGTCTAGAATTTGAAAAATTGGTTGTAGCAAAATGAGATCCAATACTATAAATAGTTGGACGATTTCTTTACCAGATTATATTGAGTTCCTTCAGTGCAAAGCATGTAAACAAACATTTTCAGTGATAGCTTCCATTGTTCAAAACACATGCTCCCAAATACACGGGGTGGAAGAGAGAACAAAGGTGAGTGGGGAAACAAGACAAAGAATGGAACTTGATTCTGGATAGTTGAATCCCAATCATACTTAATAGGTCCAAGTAATCACTTAGATATTTTTGAGGTGCTACCAGTTCGATCTTTTGAAGATTTAGTCACTATTTCCCATTCATCTTCCTCTACAACTCTAGGTCGACCACCTGTAGTTCCAACTCCAGCCCCACCACCTATAGCTCCAGTTCCACCGCCTAGTCCAGTTCAACCTTCTACAGCTCCACCCCTCCTGACTTATCATCGTCGTCCACGCCTAGCATCAGGTCGAGCTGATTTACGTTCTGCACCTAATCCTGCTAATACTGCGGACTTGTCTCCTCTTAGTCAACCGATTGCACTACGGAAAGGCTTAATCCTAATCCCCATTATGTCAGTTTAATTTACCATCGTCTGTCATCACCCGTAATGCATTTGTATCATCTTTGTCTTCTGTATTCATCCCTAAGTCTACAGGTGAAGCACTGTCTCATCCAGGATGGAAACATGCTATGATTAACGAGATGTTTGCTTTACATACGAGTAGTACTTGGGAGCCTGTTCCTCTTCCTTCGGATAAATCTACCGTTGGTTGTCATTGGGTGTATGCAGTCAAAGTTGGTCCAGATGGGCAGGTTGATTGACTTAAGGCTCGTCTTGTTGCCAAATGGTATACTCAGATATTTGGGCTCGATTACAGTGATACCTTTTCTCCCGTGGCTAAAATAGTATCAGTCCGCCATTATGTCGGTTTAATTTACCATCGTCTGTCATCACCCGTAATGCATTTGTATCATCTTTGTCTTCTGTATTCATCCCTAAGTCTACAGGTGAAGCACTGTCTCATCCAGGATGGAAACATGCTATGATTAACGAGATGTTTGCTTTACATACGAGTAGTACTTGGGAGCCTGTTCCTCTTCCTTCGGATAAATCTACTGTTGGTTGTCATTGGGTGTATGCAGTCAAAGTTGGTCCAGATGGGTAGGTTGATTGACTTAAGGCTCGTCTTGTTGCCAAATGGTATACTCAGATATTTGGGCTCGATTACAGTGATACCTTTTCTCCCGTGGCTAAAATAGTATCAGTCCGCCTTTTTCTATCCATGGCTGTTGTTCGCCATTGGCCTCTCTGTCAGTTGACATTAAGAATGCTTTTCTTCACGGTGACCTTGAGGATGAGGTTTATATGGAGCAACCACCTGGTTTTGTTGCTCAGGGAGAGTCTAGTGGCCTTGTATGTTGGTTGTGCCGGTCCCTCTATGGTCTAAAGCAGTCCCCTCGAGCTTGGTTTGGTATGTTCAACACAGTTATTTTGGAGTTTGGCATGACTCGTAGTGAAGCTGATCACTTTGTGTTTTATCGGCATTTTGCTTCAAATCTCTGTATTTATCTGGTGGTTTATGTTGATGATATTGTTATTACCGACAATGATCAGGATGGTATTACTAAGTTGAAGCAACGTCTCTTTCAGCACTTTCAGACTAAGGATCTGGGTAGATTAAAGTTTTTTCTGGGTATTGAGGTTGCTCAGTCTAGCTCCGGTATTGTGATCTCACAACGGAAGTATGTCTTAGACATTCTTGAGGAGACAAGAATGACGGGTTGTAGACGTGTTGACACTCCGATGGATCTAAACTTCTGCCAGGACAGGGGGAACTGCTTAGTGATCCTGCAGGAGATATTGCTACAAAGTTTGTGAAGTCGAATGATCGGCTTGCAGATATTTCCACCAAGTCTCTCACTGGTCTTCATATTAGTTACATAGGTAACAAGCTCGGTACATACGATTTGTATGCACCGGCTTGAGGGGAGTGTTAGATAGTTATGTAAATAACCCTAATCCCACATAGTATAGGAGCAAAATATGTATTGTATATAGTTATAAATAAGGCTATTGTAAACATTTAATATAGAACATCAATAATATATTTTTCTGCCGCGCTTTCTTACAATTTCTATATCTCCTTAATAAAATAGATTTAAGTTTTCTTCATCAAAAAGAGATTAAGCTTTTTGCCTTTTTGAAGTTGGGTGCATGTTATTATCGTTTCAGCTTTTTCTGCATAATAGTTCTCTTCTTCTGGGGCATATATGATGAAGCTTTTTGGAGCAGGTGACAGAGTCGGATGCTTTGGATGTGGTGGAGACATCCATCAAAAGCCATTCGTGTGATCTTATAACTCGGGCAATGTGTCTGATTGCTTTGTTAAAGCTGTCAAGTCGCTTTCCATCTTGTTCACAGTATGTATTCTTTTCCATTCAGTTGGATATCTGTTTTTCCTGTTCAGCAATACAGTCTATCATGCTCTATTTTTATGTGGAACTTGGTATAGTCTGCATGATCAAATCTGCCTCTTGTGCTTTTACAATCTTCAGCCTCTCTCTGCTTCTCAACTATTCACAAGTTTCAAAACTTTATCCATTAACTAGTTTAATTTAAACAATTATGTGATGCTCTTCCTACCAATTAACCTTATTCAAGCATTATGAATAACTTTATGTTTCTTCCATCAATATTATGATTGATTAATTGACTGACTCTTAAGTTTCTGAAGAGCCAAGAAACTTTTCCTTTTCCTTCAATAAGTAAGATTTTGATGACTATGAAAACCTGATACAAGTTCCATCCTGGAATGCTGATATGTGTTTAAAGATGGATTAGTTTCAGTCATTTAACACAATTCTGACCACCACTGCCTTTGATCAGGTTGAGCTATTTCTTTCTCCGTTTTCTAGTAACCGGAGGCTGTTTTTGTTTTACTTCTCCCTTTATATAGCCTTGCCATGTCCATTTCATTTTGCCATTAATTAGCTCATTTGCCTCGATTAATTTATACTGAGGCAGCTCCTTTCCCCTTCTCGCTTTTGGGTTACTAATTACCTACCCATGTTGATGAACTTCAAGACATTCCTTCTGCAATCGAGTAATTCTGCCAAAGGTGTAGATATTCGGTGGTAATTCTTGGGTTTTCTCTTTTAGAAAGGATGTTTGATCTCTATAGAGACTACTTGCCATCTTCTTTTCAACTCTATGCAACTTCTTTTGGTTTCTCTAATACTCGTCTTCTTGAAGAAGTGTACCTTCCTTTTTCTGCTGAGAAATAGAAGTGTACCTTCCTTTTAACCTTGATAAAGTCCCATGTTGGGTAAGTGTATGAGCTGTAATCTCTTCATATTATCTTGGTTTCTTACCACTTGAGCTAGCGGTTAAGTGTCCCACATTGGTTGAGGGAATAGGTTGTTGTCTCCTTATTTGATTTTGGACAATCCTTGGGGGTTGAGTTAGAATAAAGGTCCATCATTTTTACATAGTATTTGAGTCAGATCCATCCCTATTTTCTGTTTGCCCAATGTTGGTCTCTTATGTTATATTTTCCATGCTCTTGGGGTCCAGTCTAGGCGTGGTTTAAATAAGAATGGGTTATTGTCTCCTTATATGGTCTTAGACAATCCTCACCTCATGAGCTAGCTTTTGGGTTGGGTTAGACTGAAGGTTCATTTGCTTTGCACTAACATTCCGGTTGAATTAAGCCAAGGTCCGTTTCTTAACATGGAATCATAGCCAGAGTTTTTGATGTTGGACTAACCAATGTTAATTGAGAAATTCCTGGGTTAGCTGGCCTAGCCCTAGTTGGTGCACAGGTCCAGGGATTTCCCCTCTACCTTCCTGCGGAGTTCAAACTTCTGATGTTAGTTACCACACATTGCGCTGTACTTCCTTCATTATCAAACCAAAGCGCTGGGGTATGTTGTACTACCTAGTGTTGGGCCATTCATGTTATGTTGCTCTATCTTCCAAAATTGCACGCCGAGTGTTAGAACCCCACATGGGTTAAGTGTATATGCTAGAGTCTCCTTATTGGTTTAGGACAATTCTCACCACGTACGCTAACTTTTAGGTTTGAGTTAGGCCAATGTTCGTTTTCTTAACATACCTATTCTTTTCATCAATGTTGAGAAGGAAGTTTGTATTTAATTTTGATTTTATCTGTTTGTTGTCTACATTACTCTCAGGCTGTATTATGTATAGTTCCTTGGGAATGTTCTCTCTACTTGCAATCGCATACTTTAATGAAACAATTTCCCAATCAACCGAGAGCAGAGGTCGTTTTTATTAATGAAGAGGAAATTAACATACAATGAATGCAGATCGAAACTGAAAAGAGAACAACTGAAAAATGAAACAAGGGAAATTCAACAATCTTCAGCTCTACTCCTTATGCCATAGCTCAGCTATACCTCTTCATGAATGGGGGATTGAATTAGGAACAAGAATTAGATGAAAAACAAAAAACGTGAAAGGGAGGGAATTTGAATTTACCAGAATTTGGCTAATAAACAAAAACCTTCCTTTCCTTCCACACGTGCTATTTTATTTGGCCAGCATTAAATAACAACCATTGAGCACATTTACTGAACTTTCAATCTCAGCCGTCCACCTCATCTATGATTAACTAACCTCAGCTGTTTAACTACTCATCAAATTAACTAACCTCTGGGTCTTGGCACAGACTTGGTAAATTGCATTTTTACCTTTTTAATATTCTTAACATGATGCTCAGTGCCTTTAAAAATAGTTGGTCTTCTAATGCGTCTTAAGTGAGTAATCTGCAATGCTGTTGTTTGGTGCAGGCGGATAAATGATATCATTGGTCAGTATAAAGGAAGCTTTGTGCTTGAACTGCAACAGAGAGCTATTGAATTTAACTCGATTATCGAGAGGCATCAGAATATGAGGTTTGATTGATTTCTTGTGGAAAGTTGTTTCTATGCCTTCTGTTGTCTTTTTAGTGTACTTAAGCTAAGGAGTTGCTGGATGTATGTTTTCAGGTCTTCGCTAGCAGAGAGAATGCCAGTTCTGGATGAAGCAACTTTCAGCGGAAGGAGAGCTGGTTCTGTGCCGGCAGCTGTGTCAACTTCAAAAGGAGTATCAGTTAATCTTCCAAATGGAGCTGCCAAACCCAGTATTGCTCCTGTTGCTGACTTACTCGATCTTAGTTTAGATGATGCTCCTGCACCTAGCTCTTCTGGTGGAGAGTTTCTTCAGGATCTTCTTGGTGTCAATCTGACGCCAGTGTCTTTGCAATCAGGTCACATTTGCTATGTATTGCACAAATCTTTCAGAATTCTTTTCCTGATTTTTAATTCTGATCATCCTCACATTTTTTCTTTTCCGCTTTACTGTAATTAAAATTTTAAATTGGCATCTTTTGGCCATTCCAAGCATAAATTGACATCTAACATAAACTTGACTTCATAGTTGATTTTTCTCTTTGAATTTCAGATACAAATCAGGGCCAAAAGAGTGGCACTGATGCTTTACTCGATCTTTTGTCGATTGGAACTCCTCCTGCTCAAAACAGCTCATCTACAGCTCAGATGTTATCCTCCAATATAGACAATAAAAGTCCATTGGATATATTAGATAGATTGTCCACACGTTCAGCTCCTTCAGCGCAAGTCTCATCTACAGGTGGAAACTCTTCCATGTTGGATTTATTGAATGGGCTTCCTTCCAGTCCACCAATGTCTGGTATAATCTCTATCGGCTCTTTAATCTTCTCGGCCAGTCTTATTTTGTTCTTGAAATGCTGAAACCATTTTTGTAAGTTACAGAAGGCAGTGGTGCGGGACATTCATCAGTTACTGCGTTTGAGAGCAGCTCCTTGAAATTAACATTCAATTGGTCAAAGCAGCCTGGAAACCCACAGACAACACTTATTGAAGGTAGTTTTACAAATAAGTCACAAGATGTTTTCACGGACTTCATCTTCCAGGCAGCAGTTCCAAAGGTAAGAAAAGGAACAATCATCCAATAGTTAGTTTGTTGTGTTATTATTTTCCTTTTCGTTATTTTCTTCTTGGAAGAATGACGGTCCATGTATTAGAGTGTCCCACATTAGTTGGGAGAAAGAACTATTGTCTCCTGTGGTTTGGGCAATCATCCTCTCATCATGTGCTGGCTTTTTGAGATGAGTTAGACCCAAAATTTTCTTTACACGATATCATAGCCAATCCAACAACTTTTCGTTATAATCCCCAGCCCCATGTTGTCCATGGCCCAGATGTCCAACCCCGGGCGTGGACTGTCCCGGGGGGGGGGGGGGGGATCAAGGGGCTTGTTTTAATTGTCGATTTTGACTCTTGGGCTTTTACCATTTTGGTAGATACCGGGTATACAATGACAAGCGTGCCTTAGTCTCAAACAAGTTGGGGTCTATTATATGAGTTCTCACCGACTATATTTCTCCATTCAAATTCATCTCAAGCCAACATCGTACAAAATAAAAATAAAAGGTACTAAAAGTTCTATATATTTGCTAATGGCATAAAAACCACCGATAGGGCTAAAGACTGTTGGAAAGCATAGACCTAAAATGAACGTACTAACATAACTAAAATGTATTCCCAGCTAATTGGTATCGCTTTTTTCTTCAATTGTGCTCTATGTTTCGCTAAGTTTGCAGAGATTCCAAGAAATTATAGGTCTTCGAGACAACTTCCTTCCATGTGATTTTAGGTTTACCTCGTTCCCTTTTAACACCTTCAGTTTCCATGGTTTCACAACTATAAACCAAAACATTTGGAAGTCGACACAGACATGAACAAATCCAAACCATCTCAAGCGACCTTTCATTTTATCCTCACTGTGTGCTACTTGCACCTTTTGGCGAATGTGGTGATTTCTAATCTTGTATGACGGTACATTCATCTTAACATCCGCATCTCTACTAGACTCATCTNCATTTTTAATCTTGTATGACGGTACATTCATCTTAACATCCGCATCTCTATGAGACTCATCTTGTGAATATGTTGGACTTTAAGGCTCATCATTCACTCTCATTGTAACAATGCTAGTCTAACAATTCTATAAAACCTACCTTTCACTTTGTAGGCCAGGATTCATAATGAATTGGCTAGTTCTAAGCTAGCTGTCAGCCTACCGCAACCCTTCTCCTTTATCTGGGCTTGGGACCGGCAAGGCTCACATAGGTAGAGTTGGTAGTTATCTGGAATAAAGTCATTTAAGTGTGTCACTAAATCTTCTCTCCATACAGGGCTGCATTGCCCTTGATGTGGATTTCATGCCTTCCAAATATCTCAACATGGTTATCTTTTCTGATCGGTTGAAATATCGGTGATGGCTTGGAGGCTGTTGTAAATGGGTCTCTTGTTCTAAAAGAAAATCTTTCAATACAATTTTTAGGTTCATCTTTTAAGTTCTGAAAGAGAATCTTCTGATACAATTTGCTGAAGGCTTAAATGAATTGGTAATTCTTGGTATACCTGTCCTTTGATTTTTTTGGTAATTACCTGTCCTTTGATTTATCACAATTGACTGTCAATTTGATACATATTGGATACCCTAATTTCCAAATTCTCAGTACATGTACCATTAGTCATCTCTTGACTAAGTTATTTGGCATGTCTATGCAGTTCCTTCAGCTGCAATTGGATCCAGCTAGCGGTAATACCCTACCTGCAAGTGGTAATGGATCAATCACACAAAAGTTAAGAGTCACAAACAGCCAACATGGCAAGGTATGTGAATTGTTCATTTACTGTCTTGTATTACTTTTAATAGATTTTGATTGGGTAGAAATAAATGTATAGATCGTATGATTTAGAAACCTCTAGCCTTAGCCCCTATTTTGACTTAACAGCACAAATATTTTCCAGTATTAGAAAGGAATTGACACAAATAGAGTGAATGCATATAGGCGATTCATATAAAAAATCGTCCAGGCTCATTATCAACTTGATACGGATATTCTAACAAACATGTTGCATATCCAATCTTCTTTGAGTTTAGTTACAGGATTACGAGTCAATGCTAACTTACAGAATTTCATTTGTTCCATTTGCTCATGAAGAGAAAATTATTACAGAATGTTTGTACGTCGTTGATCCACAAAATTATAATAATGAAAATATGCTTTATGAGTTCTGGCTTTTACCAATGGTACTATCTTTGTGGATTCTGAGTAAATTGGATATGAGATGGGAGAGATTGGAAACTCTTAAAATTGTTGAAAAAATATTTTCCCTTGTAGAGGTTTGAAAAGATAGCTACAGCTGTACGTTGTTCTCTTATGTAACAATCTTTGCTATAAGAAACTGAAACTAGTAATAGAAATTTGTTTATCAACAACAACCCAATTTGTTTATCAGCTATCGGAATTGAATATATTTCAAAATTATGCAGTTCTTTTAAACCGGGAGATTGAGTGTACTTTTCACTTCACTGTTGAATTTGTGAATCTTTAACTGCTATATAATTATCTTTATTTCCCAGAAATCCATTGTCATGCGTATACGGATAAGTTATAAGGTGAATAACAAAGATGTCTTGGAGGAAGGCCAAATCAACAATTTTCCTCGTGATTTGTGAGGTTGAATGGCTCTATAAGAGGATGCTTTGTAGCATTTCGTCTTTTTTTCAATATGAAGAAGCTTCCGTTCGTTGTTTGTACTCCCTTGTGCAGTTTATTCAATTGTTTTGAAGAAGTGGCAGTCTGGTTGAGCTTCAAGTGGTGGCTTTGCTTGGGAATCAGTCAGATGCCTGACATTGCTTACTTCTTTTTTACCTTCCAAGGTGGCATTGTACATTATGATCTGATAACCGTGTACGCCATTGTCAAAGTCAATTTTTGCCTATTGAGGAGCTCAAAGGAGGAGGTCATGTGTTGGACTAGTTAAAAGTTCTGAGATGTGCATTGTTCTAGTATTATTTTGTTCTAAGATTTTGGGTGATCAGATTCAAAATGAAGAATTATAACACAGGTTTTCCAATTGGCTTTGCAATATTTTTCTCACTTGTGCCATTATAAGTGGGGGATATATTCAGTTATAACGGAGCGCTTCTCAATTGGTTATAATCTTTGGGTTTGCCTATCGCTAATTCGTATTCTTCATTTTTAGAAGTGTCCTCATTCCCAAGAATTTTCAATTTCTGTTTCCTTGTTCATGTTTTCATTTTTATATTTCTTTTGAAGTTTTATAGTTATACTATTGTGATGTTACTAGAACGAAGTGGATATAAAGTATTTGGCTGAATACATATTCAACTTTTTAAACTTGAATACCCCCCCCCNCCACCAGAATAGGTACCACACTCAACGTGCTTTCCGCCTTGAAACTTATTGGTGCCATCATCCAGATTTTAATTCCATTGTTCTAGATACGTGGACTGGCACCACTGTTGGTGATGTCATTAATAAGAAGAAAAAAATTCTAGCAAGAATTAGTGGGATCCAACTATCCTACTAGTACCTTATTGAAGAATCTTGAACAAACCTTTACTAATGACTATAGTAACAGTTTAAAAATTGAGGAAGATTATTGGAAACTTAGGTCGCGTATTAATTGTCTTAGTAAAAGGGATGCAAGTACTAAGTTCCTCCATATAAGTGTCCTTAATTGGAGATGAAAAAACTATATCTCCTTTTTCAAAGATGAGCATAACAATTGGATTAATGCCCCTTATAAAATCCTTCAACATACCTTCACATATTTTCAAAACATTTATCAAACAAGCCATGAAACATCTAACTGGGCCAGCATACAAGCATTCCCAACTTCCACATCATACACAGACTTAGCAGTCATAGACAAACCTTTACAAAATTATGAGATCACTAGGGCTATTTTCTCCTTCAAACCATTCAAAGCTCCTGGCCCGGATGTCATACACCCATTCTTTTACCAAAAATATTGGCACATTGTTAAGAATATAGTTTTTGATTATTGTCACACAATTTTTGCAACTCACACCATCCCCGAGCAACTCAATACAACCTTTCTTTGTTTAATCCCCAAATTTCTTAATGCGAATAACCTTAAAAATTTCCGACCGATTAGGCTTTGCAATACAATTTATAAGGTTATTAGCAAAATTATTGTCAACCGTATCAAACCCATCCTTGATAACCTAATTGGCCCTTTTCAATCCAGCTTCCTTAAAGGAAGACGTGCGTCTGATAATGCCATCATCATCATCCAAGAAATTATCCATCACTACAATAAAATTAAAGGCACCAAGGGGAAAGTCCTCCTTAAAATTGATTTGGAAAAAGCCTTTTGACCGACTAGAATGGTCATTCATTCGTAGAACCCTGCACTACTTTAACTTTCCACCACGCATCACTAAACTTATCATATCTTGTATTAGTACCTCCCGTATTGCTGTCCTTGTGAATGGCTCCCAAACGGAGTTCTTCAAGCCATCAAGGGGAATAAGACAAGGTGACCCTATGTCCCCATACATTTTCATCCTTAGCATTGAGCTACTCTCCATCCTTATAAACCACCAAATTGAGTTAACTCTTTGGGACCCTATAAAACTAAGCCCAACAGGACCCCCCCCCCTCTCCTACTTGTTTTTTGCGGATGACTTAACCCTAATGGCAACAACCAATGAGAAATCTGCCAACGCAATAAAGCGATGTCTTCGTTACTTTAGCTCCCTATCAAAGCAAAAAATAAACCACACTAAATCTAAAATAATCTTTTCAAAGAACTGCTCTACTAATCTAAAAAAATTCATTTCTACCATCCTTAATATCAAAGTCAGTGATAGCTTTGGAAAATACCTGGGCTTTCCAATTCTGACTAACAAACCTAGGCCAGCTGACTACACATTCATCCTTGACAATCTCAATAAAAGACTGTCTAGTTGGAAAACCCAATTTCTCTCACTTACGGGAAGAGCAAATCTAGTTCAAACCACCCTCAATGCCCTCCCTAACCACCTTATGCAATACACTATACTGTCTAAAAAAATCCACAAGCAAATTGATAAAATTCAACGTGATTTCTTGTGGTCCAGTAACCAAGCCTCCAGAAAAATCCACTTACATAAAATGGGACACTATCTTACTGTCAAAACATGCTGGGGGTCTAGGAATAAGAAAATTCACTAACAAAAATATTGCCGCTATTATAAGCCTCACTTGGTGATTCTTCAGCCACCCCTTTGGTATTTGGGCTAAAATTATCAATTCCAATTACGTTGGTTGATACTCAAATAAATCTCACTCCTTTATATGGAATAACATTCTCACAGGTTGGACAATTTGTGAAAATGCTATTGTTTGGCATATTAGAGATGGTACCAACATTGACTTTTGGCATGCAAACTAGCTACCTTGCACAAAAAGCCTACGTAGCATGATTCAAGGTCCCTTATCACCTAATGATTTAAATCTCAAAATTTCTGACATTTTTAGAAAGAACTCACGGTACTTATCAAAACTTTCTTTTGAGCTCCCATCCCATATTTCAACCGAAATTCACTCCTTCAAAACAATTAATGACTACTACCATATTGATACACCAATATGGTCCCCCACCATAGATGAAATTTTCAGCACAAAGTCTGTTTACCCTCTTATAACTCCAAAAACTACTCAAACCAAAAGCAAAATTTTGCATGACTTTGGAAACTAAAAACTTGGAATAAGATTAAATATTTCCTATGGCAATGCCACCATGATCGTTTACCTACTAAAAGCTACCTATGTCATATTGGAATTGATACATCCTTGTACTACTCAGTTTGTAGCACCACTGAGAAAACACCACAACACATTTTTCTCTTCTGCCCAATAGCCACACATCTATGGGAAGAACTAGGTGTTAACACGCAAACCCTTGACACCCAATCTATCCATTATCTAGATAGTCTTTACAAACATAAGCTTTAAATTACATGTACATGCCACTCCTTAACTTGGGACTGTCTCTTTTCCTTTGCACAGTTAAATAGGAATAAAAATACCTTCCACAATCTTTGAAATCCAATAAATAGTAATAATGTTATCTTAAGAGCCATGGAATATCTTCATTGTAGTAATATCAATTATAACAACCTAGACAGATCCCTAACAGTTATTACCAAATGGGAGCCCCCACCATGCACCAAGTAAAATTGAACATTGATGGAGCTTTTACATGTAGGTTTAAACAAGGAGGGGTAGGAGGTATATTTAGAAACTCCATTGGGGAATGGATTCTAGGATTAGTAAGAAGAGTTATGGCCCTTCCCCACTTTACATGGAACTTGAAGCATTATGCTACAGATTAAAACTAGCAAAAGCTTATAACTTGACCAACCTTCAAGTAGAGACGGATTCAACCTCTATACCATCAATAATCGAAACTACCAATTACCCACCATATAATCCACTTATCTCCACTTGCAGGTACTGGCGGAAGATGTTGGGAAATCCACCAATCCAACACAACTTCCATGAAGGAAACAAGGTAGCACATGAATTAGCACAACATGAATTCAAGCAAACGAATGTCTACTATAATCACTTATATTCAAATTCCCTAGACTACATAAGGGATGCTGTGCAAGCTGACAAGGAGAGTATTAGCTAGCGTTTGGCCATAAATTCCCAAATTTGTTTTGAAAATTTTGATTTGGGCTAAGTTTGGTTTGAAGATGAAAATGTGTTTGGACATGATTTTTTAAAACATATTTCACTTTTTATTTGAAAAAACATGAAACATGAGTTATACCCATAAGTTCCAAAAACTATCACAAATACCCAATAGTACCAAACAAACAAACTTGCTATCTTGTGTATACAAAACCTTCATCAATACCATTCATTATCGTTATCACAAACCATAGTCCTGAACATAAATAAGTTTTGGTATAAAATTATCATTTTTATAATAAACTATCCTAAAATCATAATATGATATTTTAATATTAACTGGTAATAAAAAACAGAATTACTAGCTGTTACAATTCGTCAAATTGCAATAATAATACAAGATCCATCGGTCCCAAAAAATGATCGTAACTAGCTATTCTGTAATATAATTTTCCCACATTATACGAATAATCTCCACGACGAGCATGCATTTCCCTATCAGATGACCAAGAAGATGAAATAGTATTGTTACTTTGAGATATAGCCATTTATCATCATCACAAGCAAAGATTAGTCAATGTAGGAGATGAGAGACGTCATATACATGGGGAGGGTTTACAAATATGTAAAAAAACTCATACAAATTAAGCAAAACAAAGCTGAAGAAAATTCATACAGAACCAGCAAAACAAAGTCGAAGAAAATTCATACAAATCTGTAAAAAATTTAAACAAGTATTAGTAGATTTTACTAAATTACCTTCAAATTTCGTCTTTTGATGTGGATTGCAATCGATTGGCACGAAAAATTTGCGGTGGAGTTCTCTTCTATTTATAGAGGGCAAAGCAAATGCGTGAGATTAATGAGAGGCAAGTGAGCAGATATGGTTTAGTTGGTCGTAATACATGTGGGCTCTTTTACAAACTATAAAAGTTTGGGGTAATATTTAAAATTTTTAGAAAAATGTAACGGTCATGTTTTGGCCGAAAATCAGCAATTGGAGTGATTTTGGGGTTTGGGATTTTGCCAAAATGTGAGAAAAATTTATGGCCAAACATGAGTTTTTCAAATAAATCCCAAATTTATTTTGGCAAAACTCATGGCCAAACGGGTCCTTAGCACTACTAGGAGCAATACCACTAATGTTATTGTCTTAAATAATTTGGCTATGCTTGAAACCTCTTTAATGTCTTCATTTGATTGTAACAATATTACTACTAGCATGCGTACGTCTCCTTCCAATAGGAGGACCGGGCCATATAGCTCTACTAGTTAAATGATAAATAAAATTTCTTCATTACCGAAAAAAAAACTTTTTAAACTGGCCCGTATTTTCCATTTAGATACCTGAACGTTGAACATTTCAAACAGGTAGAGAATGCGCCAATTGAACACTTTTCTGCAGTCACCCAAAAACTGCAAACGCGTGAGTTCTACACATAAAATCAACAAACTACCTTTTGACACCTCATCCAACATTCCACCCATCCTAGAACCACCTACCCAGCTCACCCACCCCACACCCA